GGAACATTTATGGGCACAGTAGATCACATATTTTAACTATTACTACGATCATTTCTTCCCAGACTTTTTTATGCCGCCGGTGACCAGAGGTCCTTTTTGACTGGCTTTCTTTGCTGCCTCAGCCAGAGCTTTCTGTGCTTCCTTTTGCTTTTGTTTAAAGGCTACATCCTCATCATCCAAAACTTTGCCTTCCTTTTTTGGTGCCTTCAAGGGTTTCTTCTTACCTCCTTCTCGGCCAGACATTCTAAAGTACATGAAAATTAATCACATGTATCTGATTATCGCTTATTAAAAATGACATATAGCTCTAACATTATATCCAAGAGGTTACTTAATTGTGTTTACTGTGTAGATGGTCATATCTGGGATGACCTTGACATTCCCAGTTAAAAGTCATTATTATTAATCATAGCTATACACACTCTTTTTTTCTACTCTTAGTATACACTGATATACACACTCGGGTCTGTGTGGAAACCTATCCACTTATATTACCGTAACTTCCATAAAAATGGATATATTTCAATTAATTTTTTTTTCAATCGATGGATAATTGATTAAGAAATAAGTCTATAATGTATAAAAATCGACAGAATTAAGGAACTTCAAGATATATAGATTCAAAAGAAAAAGAAAATTTTAGAAACACGAAAAAAATGTTGATTCAGCAAATTGCACTGGAGTTTCTGGGACCGCGGTGTGTATATAGCTAAGATTAATTATATATTAATTATTCTATAATTTATTTAAAATCATTATGTAGATTTAATCAACATTTTCTAAATAAACATAACAAAAAATTTTTTAAAATATATATATCAGCGAGAACAAAAAAAACCGATCGAATTTCATTGTTGGGATATAAAAAATCTCAGGTAACTATTCTTGGATTAAATCAATATAACCTCCATAGAAACGGAAATTAATCAAATCACAGACAAAGTATTCTACAATAAGCGATGGACAATGTTAACAGCTGTGCCATTAATATTATCACAAAATTAAATCCACAATTCGTTCAAATATATAGAAAATACTTAAAAATCATAGTATAATATATTTATGAAACAGCGACATACACATACTACGCAAATACCACTCTTACTAGATTATGGAATTCTGTCAGTATTGGAGTACTCCACTTACTTGCAGCAATACTAAATTTCCAGACAAGATACGAGAAGTACGAACGAGACACGACAGATTTCGAAATTCGTTCTGATGAAGATTAACAAATGCCGCTGTATGGCAAATTTTTCTCGAGCTAATCATACAGATTGTGCTGCCGCAAGCCGTGAATTCGAAGTTCGGCGATCTCAGGTCTGTTCCTTGTAGCTACTGAATAGATACTCTATTACTTTTCTATTCTATCATTTTTCTACTCTTTTAACTTTTTATCTATAATTCGAGTCAGAATTTAAAATAGAACTAAACTTGTCGTAGAATATACAAAATATCCGAAGAATTACACACAAATATCCCAGATAACGCAAGAATATAAAAGAGAGATATAAGACGTCTTAACGTCTAAAAGACGTCTTATGTTTCAATGTGTTGGGATACAATATATATGCGTAAAAAATATCTAGTAAATTTTTCTGAGAATTTTTCATATAAATTTTCAAAATTTTTATATAAATTTAAGAGTTTCGAAATAATTTATAACTTTTTAGAAAATTTTTTTCTCGGGTTTTTTAAATTTTAATTCGAACATTTTCGATGAAGTTCACAACTTTTCTAGAATTTTCATTACATGAAAATTCGAATTAATCTGAAATATTCTGAAATGTCTTATTTTATAATTTTTTTTAAATCTTAAGTTTTCTCAGATTTTATAAATTTCATAAAAAATTACAAAATGAGAAATATAGACTGAGAAGTCTTAGAATATTTATATTTCAAAATTTATATATATATATATATATATATATATATATATATATATATATAATATTTTAAGGAAATTTGTAAAATTTCTCAGTTTTTCTAAAAAGTGTTTCAAGGAGTATAAAAATTTTAGGAAAAATTTTCGTCAGAAATATGACATATATTAAATTGTAAATAGAATTCTGTTCTACATTCTGTAATCTAAAGGACTTTACACGCATTTTTCATTTTAATTCCAGAAAGTGTAAGATAGTTATTAAAAACAGCTACTACTTGTGGTTTTTATAAAAAATAATTATTTTATTGTTCGAAATAATCAATCAAGATTCATCAGATTACGACACACACAGTTTTTAATGAACGAAGATCGTACTTGGAATCGGTTTAAGAATTCGATGCAATGTTGTTCAACTTTAACAGTTATAAATATGCAAGTAAGTTGTATATATATTTTTTATACAAACAAATTTGATCGAAGTTGTTCGAATTATTTCTCTTGAATGCAAGTCTCTTTCTCATCACATTCGATTAACATTTATGTCTCTGAATAACAACATAAAAGTTATGGCTCCTGAAATATTTGCCGCGCGGCAAGCGTTTCCGCGTCCAGTGTGCAGAAGCCATTAAATATTATTGCAAATAATAATATATCTTCTCCCCTCTTTTGTTTTGTCCGAAGTTCGAGTGTTGGTAGTATTGACGTTATTATTGGGACAAGATTCTCTAAGGCCCAATGTCCACGATGCTAGAACTCGAATCGAGTAGCATCGTGGATATTAGGCCTAAGTTTCCCTAGTTTAAAAGTTTCTCTCTTCTTTCATTATTGGTCTGTTCTTTTCAGATGAACTCCTCTCACATCGTTCATCTCTCTTCTTTTTCTCTCCACGCTGAAGAAAAGAGGAAAGATGAACGGTATAAAAAAAAGCTAAAACGAATACTTTATTATATTACACGCTATACTACAAAAAATTGTTCTTCCTTCTTTTTAGACCATTTAAGAAGTAAAGAAAAGCACAGCCAAAAAGAATGGCATCGAATATTGCACTTCTTTAAAAGAAAGATTCGTTTCTCCCAAGAATTCCAAAACAGAATGGTGGGGATAAGATATTTGAACAGCTCGACCATTAGTCTCACTAGTCGATTAACAGTTTCCTTCACGATAGTCAGCAGAGCAGTAATAAAGTAAATAGAATAAGCAAATAAGATTCTTACCAAGATAATTAATTGAAAGATTTAATACGTGGCAACATTGAAACAATTTAAATCTTTTATTTACATAACTTTTTATTTATTATTTTATTTAATTAGCTCGTAAGTAATGGAATTTTAATAAAAAAATGTGTTTGACGTCAAAGCATGATAATAAGAATCATGTAAAGTACTTGCTGATATCAGCATTCTTCTATAGAATCTAAAAGGATTTTTAATATAACAAAATGAAAAAATATCTGATAGAAAATCGAGAATTGAAGCAAAAATGTCAGCATGTTTATTTTTCTGAATACAAATCAATGACTTTTTCTTAAAATATACTTGCTGCAAATATAATTTATAAATTTTTTATAATTACAATTAGAGCTTATATTTTTTAAAACAACTCTTCGAGTTACAGTAATTTTATATTATTGGCATTGACAAAGTGAAAGGAATCTTAGTCCTTGAAATTGCTTGACAACGTAAAAATTAAAAAGAGACTACATTACAATTTATAATCACTGATACATTTGCGTGATTGGTTCTTATCGTTAGCTATCATTAAAAATGCAATCGTATCGAAGAATCATCAATATTAACATTACGCGACTTTTTCATGAATTAATATTTTCAATGCAACAATACAACTCCAATTGAAGTGTTCAATCATTACGATTTTTTTAAACAAGCGTAAATTGAATAATGCCATGTGTGTTTAGGATCTTTGCACCGGATTTATTCAAGAGTGCATCTCAATATGCCACTTAAATTGGAATTAATTGCCGCAGCATGCGAAAATATGGGCATTGGAATAAATGGCGATTTGCCTTGGCGTTTAAAGTAAGATTAATGTATATACTTAATTAATAATTTAGAGAGAATATTTGAACGAGAGATTCGTACGTAGGACAGAAATGACGTATTTCACATGCATGACGACTAACACAAAGAACAAAAATAAAAGGAACGTTGTACTTATGGGTCGGCGCACGTGGGAGGGCATCCCCGAAAAGTATCGACCTCTGAAGGACCGAATAAATATGGTGTTAACTTCGCAATCATTGTAATTATGGGCAAAATAACAAATCAAAGAAAATTTAATTTGTCAAAAAACAATAGAGCATATATATCAATTTTAGGGATTATGGAGGTGACGCGATAGTATGTAAAAGTATACCACATGCGCTTGACGTAATTTCAGAAATGCATAATGAAGTAGAAAGGGTATGGGTAATAGGAGGAAGTAACGTGTACAAGGTACTTTGTACATTAAATTAATACAATACATATACATTTTTAAAAGATCTGTTCTTTCAGTTGCACAACACTATTATCTCCATTTCATGTGAAACGTACTCACAATGAATCAAGTATTCGCGACTCAAAGTTAAAAGAAAGAGAAACAATTTGAAGAACAGAAAGTGCGATTAAAAGAATAGATCTGATACTGCAACAAAAATTTAAATTAAATGTAACAATTATTGTATAATTTCATACTAGAGTGCCATAGAATCTCCGCACTTTGGACGATTATATTTGACGCGTATAAAGAAAAAATTTGAATGTGATACGTTCTTTCCTTCTATCCCAAACGATTTCGTGTTAATCGAGTAAGTATTAATGTTTCTTTGTATTAGATATGTTTCATATTGCTGTTTTGCTAATAATAATAATAATTCCAGAGATCCAACGATACCACAAGGTATACAGAAAGAAAAAGGAATTGAATTTGTATATGAAGTGTATGAGAGAAGATAAAACTATTTCTTTCAACCAAATTAAAATTGTAAATGTATTGTTTTTGTAAACAATACATAATTTTTACTGCATCCGTAATAAATAAAAGTGAAATGTCAAAAAAACAAGAAAAAATTACTGATATCAATTATAATTTTAATACATAAATTATATTACTGATGATATTTTTTGTACAATGTCCTTCAACCATATTTTTTCTACACTTTATTCATAGAAAGTAAAAACTTCATAAGAAAAATCAAGATTTATACATTTAATGTATAAATACATTAGCCAGGAGGCCACTTCAACTGTCGACCACCAAGAACATGCAGATGCAGATGATACACTGACTGTGCACCATGCTTTCCATCGTTGATGACTAAACGAAACCCATCTGTCAAACCTTTTTGCTTTGCAATTTTATGAGCGACATTCATCAGGTGACCAAGCAAAGGTTCATCTTCATCTTGAGCATTAGAGAGTTGTGAAATTGGCTTTCGTGGAATTACCAGAAAGTGTACTGGTGCTTGAGCATTTATATCATCAAATGCGACGCACTGTCAAATCAGAAATATATTCATTAATATTAGCATTTTGCATAAAAACAATATATTATTTAATCCAAATCAAACTATCACTAATATCAAAAATAAAAATTAATTTTTCCTCTTTATATCTATATTCTAATTCACAAGTTTTCTGATATAACAAGAGTTAACTAATAGTTTCTATATAATTAAATAGACTGGAACAAGTGGTTATACAATAATCATATAGATGACAAAATAAATAACAAATCATTTCAGATAATTAGACAGAATTTTTGCTGTACAAAAGTAAACGCAATACATAGCAGATAATATAAATTTATTTTAATGCTTACAAACACATTTTAGCCATACTTTTATGTTATGGTAAATAATATTGTATATAATATAATACAGTATGTAATATAATACAAAAAATAATACATAATATTTTCAATAACAAGTCTGATGCAGTGTTCAAGTATATATATAATGCCGGTAGGTTGAATTTGCTATGTAATTCAACAAAAAAATACAATTTTGTATGTTATGTCATAGTTTACCTGGCTGTCCTCGTAAATAAAGTTGCATGGGATTTCTTTACGTAATATTTTCCCAAATATTGTATCACCTGTTGGCGCAGCGGACTGTGCCTTCTCCACCTCGGTCGCCATTTTCCTTAAACTAATAGAACAGTTCGGCAGGTTGCCACCTATTGTCAGGTGTTTGTACACATCTACGACGAAGTTCGAAAGCAATCTCATGTCAAAAGTAACTACGATAATCTGTAAAGCGAATATTGTTAGCTGCACATTACATGCGCGTTTCGATGTTTCATTTATCTCTGAGTTCCATTTTATATTATAGTCCGAAGGTCGCGACGTTCGTGTCAGTGCAGCCACGATCGAGATATCGAAGCGCGAATTTCAAATTCGACAATTGCTGGAAAGCCAGAAATAGATTACGTATTATAGAATTATTCGGAATGAGTTTCTATTGAATTTATTTCATTTCCTCTAGAAAACAATACAAATTTACAGAATAAATGAACAATTTCGATTGGAATCCATTCCAAATAATTATTTCAAAGGTATATGTATCAGAATACTTGCCGGATCGAAACGTTTTCTCGTTTCAACAAATTGCTTTCTGTATTCATTACGATTGTAAAAAAAATTAAAAAGTTTGCTGATGGATACATTGAGGAGATTACTTGTGAGACAGAATCTTGCATGTAAAACTATAAAACTTTTATTTTATAAGACAGTCTTTTCTTAATAATGCGATTATTCTATTTTCGAAGTCTTAATACAATAATGCACTCTAAAAGGCATATAAATATTGTCACTTATTGCTTTATACACGTATTGTCAATATTGTACATTAATAAAAATACGCTATTATTGATTGCAATGGTTTATGGTACATGCAAAGTATGGCAGTGCGCTTTCTGGTTTTCTCCGGAAGATCTTTAAATCATTCCCGTATTCCTAATGGGTCGCAAAGGCCCCAGTCTTAGAAAAATAATTCTACTTATAAAAAATATACATAAGAGTTATCTTGAATTAATTTCGCATTAAACCAAAGCTAAGTTAGCTATGTATTAGCTTTCGTATCTCTAATAGGATTTGCCGTAACTATGCATATCTTATATAATATAATGTAAATGTTGTGCATACAGTTAGACTATTAATCACTAAGTGATAACTACTGTGAAATACAAAAAAAAAGATTAATCAGAAGTGTAATTCATGACGTTATTATAAAAAGACGATTGACTGAAACATTGAGACATTAGACAGTAAATAAATAACATATCAAAAATAATAATAATCGCTTCACTTTCATATTGTACATTAAGGTACGCCTAGGATAAATTAACTTAAATATTAACTTATTTCGCAAAGTGTTAGATTGTTACATTTACTGTTAATAACTTAATTACGCAAGATGTAAAAGTAAGGGATATGTATGACTACTATTTAATACGACGCAACAAATTTAAGTGCTAATTGAATTTATAATATTATAGCATTTATACGCACTGTTGTTAATACTCGGATTAGATATTTAATATATAATCAACGTGTTATTAGTAATTCTATTTATGTATTATAATAATATATATACTGTAGTACGCTTAAATGTCGTATATAGAAGTATATATGTACATACACTTCTTTTCCTGAATATAATACGTCAGTCTGAGTTTTAGCCAGATATATATATATATATAAAATCCAGCAATAAGTCTATATAATTTATGGAATAGGCGTCATTGTACGCCCTCCTCGGAAAAGTATCGGTGTCTTACGGCTTGAGCTGCAGTTATACGACTATGAGGATCAAACATGAGCATGTTCTTTATTAAGTCTAATCCATCTTCATTGAGATCTGGTATTATTAGACTGAGAGGTCTCGGATGTCTGTATGGAAAAGCATTCCAATTGAGCGATACATTCTCCGGCCATTCTTCCTGTGACGGAGTACCCAAAACTCTAAAATAAAGAGTAAAAAAAAAATATATATATATATAGAGCATAAATATTAGGCGGTACAAAGTTTATTCTAAAAACAGAGAACCAAAAAAGTATAAACTCACTGGAAAATCCTGTCCAGTTGATCACCTTCACTGGTACCTGGGAATAATGGTTCCAATTTGCAAAGTTCTGCTAGTATGCATCCGACAGACCAAACATCTACAGGAGTAGCATAGGAACATCCTAAAAGTACTTCGGGTGCTCGATACCATTGGGTTACAACCTAGACAGAATATCATTTCTTAATTATGATATTAAATAATACAGGATCATAAAAAGTGGCTCATTTTCTTTGAATCACATGCACTGATATATTATCATTAGACTGCAGATATTTATGCAAACTGAATATTAACCATCGGACAATTTTTTTAACAGTCGATCGTTGTTCATTATTAAAAAGTAAAGTAAAAAGGTTGAGATTACCATCTGTAAATATGCAATTTATGCAAAATATTCAGTTAAGTATTTTGCATAAATATCTGCAGCCTAATTATTACTTATTTAATATTTAAAAAATTATAGTATACAAAAATAAAGTTATATAAATACATACATACATACATATATATATATATATATATAAACAAATAAACATAAATAATGATCAAACAATGACAATAGTAATAACAATATTTGTGATCGAGAAGAAGTGTCTAATTCGTAATACTTAATATCTAACACGTACCACAGAAGTTAATCTCATTTCAAAACCGTACGTCTTGGCTAGACCAAAATCCGCGATCTTAATTCTCCCTTCCCGCGTTACTAGAAGATTCTGCGGCTTCAAGTCCCTATGTATTATTCTATGGCTGTGTAGAAACTCCACTCCACAGAATATCTCTTTTAACATTTGCCTCACAAGATACGGTGGGATGCTTGATCGGGGCGAGGTATTCCGATAATTAGCTATGTACGAAGCGAGATCTCTTTCTACGTGCTCGAACACCAACCAAAAGGTGATATCATGTTCCGGTCTTTCGAATGTACCATCACCCGATGATACATCAAGATAGTTTCCTCCTTGGCAGACATCCAATAATCTGACCTGGATAACGAAGAGCAAATATATAAAATATGTACCTATACCTACAATATAATATTAAGTAATAAATAAAAGATTCTATTTATGATAGTTTATAACGAAATATAGAATATTAAAGATCAGTATATATAACACATACATATATAATAAAGGAAATTATATTTTGATTAAAAGGTGCTTACAATATGTGGGTGCTCATATTGCTCGAGCGACTTCAAGGCAGCAATTTCCCTTACTGTGGACGAAGGCAGACCATCGTCCGTCAAAGGTATTCTGACTCTCTTAAGCGCTACGGTTTGACCACTATTCTTATCTGTAGCTTTGTACACTGTCCCGTAAGCGCCATTCCCGATAACGGACAAATTCTCGAACGACGCTCGTTCACGCAGCGAGAATCTTTGTATCGTCGTTTCTTCTGATCTTCTTCCGGAAGGAGCAGAGAGCTCATCTTGATCGCTGTACTTCATTACAACGGATTTTAACGTCGTGAGCTGCTCTTCTCTCGATGTACTCGGGATCGCTTCCGTTGAGGTCGGTGGGATATCACTCTTTTGTCTGGGGAGATCCGGATCCGTTTGAGACGATTGTTTAGTCGATTCCGAGGACGTTTCACTGATTAAAACCGATTGCTTCGATGTTGTTGTCTGTTCTGTAATATCTGAAAGTTGTTTATCTCCTTCCGAAACAATCTCTGTCTGTGCAGGTATCTCACTCGTGTCCGATGTTTCACTGATTAAAACCGATTGCTTCGATGTTGTTGCCTGTTCTGTAACATCTGAAAGTTGTTTATCTCCTTCCGAAACGATCTCTGTCTGTGCAGGTATCTCACTCGTGTCCGATGTCTCGGTACTTTCCACTTTTGTTAGGTACTTTTCTTCAGACGAATCGGATGTTTCGGATTGCTTGGACCTTTTCGAGGCAGTTGGCGTTGATAAATCCGGTTCGAGCTCTGTGCTCGAACGTCGTAACCTACCAGCCATCACAACATCTCGACTTCTACCTGAAATAAAATGTGTTCTTATTATTGACAGAAATAATAAAGTTAAGAAGTAAGAAAGTACAGTAATTTCTTGGAAAAGGAAACGAGAAAACCTTAACATGTTTTAATTTCTCAAGGGTAATATTTCTAAGGCGACTTCAAAGAATTTTGCGTTAAAATGACAAAAACAAATAAGAATATATTATTTTTGCACACAGAAATTTAAAGTTATATTTATAAAACTAAAAATAATAATGTAAATAAATAATGTAGATTAAAAGATTCTTTCTCAGAATTTTTATTCGAATTGGAACATTTTTTCCAGAAATACTAAAAAAGTTTACATTTTTTCTTAGAATTTTATATATATATATATATGAATTCTATAGAAAAGATGTAACTTTCTCGGCACTTCAAAAGTGTTTCAATTTATATAAAAAACTTTGAAAAATGTTTTAAAAAAATTAAAAAATTACTTAGAAAATTCTGTAATTTAAACATAAAAATTCTGAAAAATTGTATATAAACAATTTTGAGAAAAATTTTCATCAAGATTTTCAATGCAAATCATAAATGATAATAATAATGAGCGATAACTAGTAGCTAAATCCGCATCTTAGTAACGAGTTTTACTTCCGCACGCTGATGATTATCTACGAGCTCCTTGACAGATTGATATCAAGATCTATTGCGAAAAATACGCAAAGGGGACGAGATGCACAGCACGGATATCGTGGCGCGTGCATGTGTGTTTGTACAGTTGCGCTTGCGATAGTTGGGTTCGCGTCATAAAACAGTTACACAGGACCGGCTCGGTCCTTTTTTCTTTTTCGCTTGCGTTTTATTAAAATTTCGAGACGGTACCACAAGCAGGACGTACGATCATGGCAAGCCGTCTGCTACGCGACATCTGCACCGACACCTGCGCTCATACATATAATAGCCCGCTATACCGGCCTCATCGTCGGCTTTCCGGAACATCTTGTGAACGCAAGGGAAGTCCTAAACCCCACCAGGGGTCCTTGCCCTTTGTTTTCTTCGCCGGGTCCAGCGATGGTAATTGTTTGTGAAACAAATATGTCAAACCATGGCACTGTCACTTCAAGAGTGAAATTCCACAAAAAAAAAATATATATATATTAGTCGTATCTCATTGGATTATTAAGCCGTTTTCATTACGAATTTTATACGGAAAGAATGGATTTGCTAAAAATCTAAAAATTTAGATACGCACACAGATATGAAAATAGAGATTTTGTTGGACTATGAAAATATATATAATTATATGTAGAACACTCAAGTCGATGGTAAAAATGTCAAAACTGTTTGCGTTGCTTATCGCGTTTGAATTTCTTACGTAATTATTTTGATGGTCCAACAAAATTATTTTGAAGTGTAGCTAAATTTTTAGATACTTCAGCAAAATCATCCTTTCCATACAGAAGCTTGCTGCAATGTTGCAATATTATTACAATATTACTGGAACTTTGCAATATTGCTGGAATAATCTGTACTATATGGATTATTTCCGACATCTAATAGCAAGCTATTTTTTTTTAATTCAAAACACAGTAGATCTCACTAACAAACTATGTAAATTGTAAACTATTGATTATAAATGATGTCTCACACTTGACACGAATGCGTAAATTTTGTTGCTTCCATACGGAAGATTCGTGATGAGTTGAATAAAAGAGGAAACTGAAGATATTAGCCCAAAGAGATATGAAGTTACGATAGAAAAGATCCATATGGCATAATTCAAATGATTTAAATAGCCGGATGCCGAAAAAAAGGCACTCGCCTTCATTCGGAGGAAATAATAAACTATACTATTATCACTTCGTAATTTCTTTGTGGCACATGGCCGCCGTTAGATGTTAGTTGTGGGAAAAGTCGACAGGGTACAGATAATCCAACGTCATTTGATTTAATATCAAAATACATTCTTTTATGTTACGAAAAAAAATCTTTAAACTTTTATGTTTAATCAAATAATGATCGTATTAATAAAATATTTTTGCTGTATTATGTTAACACAGATATAACGTCGAATATTAGTATACGAAAAGAATGATTGTGCTGAAATATTTGAAAAGTATTTAAAAGTTTAGACAGTACAAATGTGAAAATAATTTTATTGGACTATCAAAATAATTATGTAGGATCAAAAAAAAGTCTAGTTGTTAAAATATCAAAAAAAATCTTACAGCATCGCTCGTCTGAGTATCCTAATAATTATTCTAATGGTCCAACAAAATTATTTTTAGATCTGTATCTATACTTAAATTTTTAGATACTTTTTTAGATTTTTTAAAATCGTTTTTTCCGTGTGCTTTTGGAGGAGAACGCTTTGCAAACGGATGTACTCTCACGGTTTTGATTAAATTCTTCTATCAACTTCCTCTTACGATAAGAAATTCTAACTAGAAAAGCCGACCGGAGGAAGGAAGGAAGAAGTGAATGAACGAATGAACGAAAGAAACTGACATTTATATCGCGAGAAATTTTTTTGTTCGCAATGTGTCTGACATTGAGAAAAAGGAACAAAACGGGATGCTCGTAAATTTTAACGGGGTGCATTGTGGAAAAATTCCGGGCGAGATATGTCGCAAAATGAAAGAAACGAAAGAGAAAAAAAGGGAAATGTATAGGCGATTCAGGGAACTGGAGAAAAACATGTTCTCGTTCTGGAGGCGACCAACAACTTTGTATGTACAGAGAGCGTTTCCATACGGCATTATCTCGAGACCACCTTCCTGGAAGAGGCAGATGTTTCTATACGGTGTTTCGTTAGACACCAAGAAGAAGAAGCAGTGAAGTCGATGAAGCGTAGTTTAGTAACGTTTAAGAAAAAAAAAAACACATTTCAAGAAGATGGAAGCATATTACTTAGTCTGTTTTTATAATTACTTTTCGTTTATTTTTATTAGAAATGAACGAAAAGTAATTATAAAGGAGACTAAGTAATATGCCTCCATCTTTTTGAATGTGTATTTTTTCTTAGTAGATGTAACGGTGCGCCAACAACTTATTTTCGCTGGTAATATATAATGTAATACACTTGTAAATATATATCTGCACATTCTGCATATTTTGGAATACATAGGGGAGACTAAAGGAAATATTATTCATTCTGTCACCATATATTTTTTATTAATTCAAATAGATAACTTGGATGGCAAAGAATATGCGTTCTGTAATTCTGTTTCTCTTATAAAGTCTCTAAAATTATTAAGAACACGATTGTTAAGAACGTTCGGACAATATTTTACATTTTCACTGCAAAAAATTTACAACACAAGATCACAATATTTATTGCTGCAACACTTTCCACATAATTTTCAATAAATCCATCATGATTTCCAAAAGTTGCCGTTTGCTGTAAAATATTGTATACCAGTGAAAGTCCGCAAGTAATATTTTTTAGGTATTTTTAGTTGAATAATAGACATTTTTCCTTCTTTTCGAGAGATCTTCCTTTTATTGTTCTTTTATTATATCTTAAATGCTTTTCTATTCTCATGCATCCCTTGGTAAAATACAATATTCTTTTATATATATATATATATATATATATATGTATATATATATATATATATATACATACATACATATATATATATATATTTTTTGTTACATCAAGTGTCACGTAAAAAGGACGAAAATAGCCCAACAAAGTTGACGTAGTAGATAAGCGGTTGGGACACGGGAAAACTGATAACTCGAGAAGTCGTGCTAGATAAACAACTGTACGCGAAAGAGGATGTCCAATGGAGTACAAAAAGATGTTTGACTGAATCTTGACTTAACCGTCTAAACCGAGACGCACTGACATATAGACTCGAGGCTACTAGATGTAAAATCACGCAATGCTCGTCTTATTGTTAGAAAAACACAACTTCCGCTGGCAAATTAGATAACGTAAGAACTTTTGAACGTCGGAATGTCGAGTTACTCAATCTTCTTATCATATTACTCGACGAAGTACACTCGATGATACACACGCGCGTAGACTCAGCAGTTTCCGTATAAATAAATCCAAAATTGAAAAAAAATACGAAAGCAGGCAATGTTCCAATTTATATACCACGTTACATGTCAGCATTTTATTTTAAATTTCGGAATAAAACATTAACATTTAAATATTTTCAAATAAATATTAAAAGAAAGAAAATAATATAAAAGCGTAATTAAAAAATGAGGAAATAAACAAGGATATTAGAAAATTGCGTTTATTAGAAAAGTGTCGCTTAAACTTCTTCAGTCTCTCGCCTCAATTTTTGCATATTTCGAGAAAAAAAAAAAGTAAACACTGATAATGCTCTCTTTAAATTATTATACATCAGATTACCTCAAAGGAAAATCATTTCTTATTTAGAGTTTAATTCATTAGGTTTCTCTCGATAAAATCATCAACATTTTACGCACGACATAAAATTATTGCCCCGCGGCTTCCGTAAAGTTACACGTGTCACGATTGTTTACGCATTGTGTAGCGCGTGGCGTAATAACGTGTAAATCATGCGTCGCTTCAATTGCAACATAATTGAAGGCACATTTACGATTATTGTTTGCAAAGTCGAGCATCAACGTGCGTAGATCCACGTTGGATGAATGAACGGCTACATATGATTAAAATACACTATGTTTACATTCATTAATTCATTATGACCGAATAGGAGCAATAATGTTAAGCTCGAAACAGGACAAATATTGCGTTTTATTAAAATAATGTGTGTTATCTTCTTAAAGTAATGCTCGAGATCGCGTCTATTAATTTTAGTGCACAAAAGAGGTCAATCACTCTAAATGCAAGTCGTCGATTATCTTATCTCAATTCGGGCATCCGCGTTACAATTTTGAGAATAAAGATAAAAAAATGTACATAAGATTAAGCTTTAATATATCACAGAATTGCTATAAATGTAAAATTTTGATTATAAAAAAAAATTGCACGATTTAATTAAATCTTGCAATTAGAAAAATGATCACAAATGTAAAATGAATACTTAAATAAA